CGATTATCCTCTCTATCTGAAAGTTCTAGTAGTTGGTACCACCTGCGCTTATCCGGTGACCCTGTGGCGTCGGCATCTGGCATAGCTGGTGTCGGTGTTACACTGAGCGCTAGAACCGGAGCTGCATTGCTCGACTGGATTCTTATTAACAGTCATTTATGTGCTGTGAGGCTGGAAGGTTATACGAAAGTAAGGAGTAGTAGGCCAGATAGGCGGTGTCTATTTGGTGTCTATGCCTATGCACCGACGGACTGCAGCAAGGAAGCAATGAAGGATGAGTTCTACTACCAACTGAGCGATCTCTTGAAACAGTCGGGTCGGAGGGATGTCGTAGTGCTGGCTGGGGACTTGAATGCACAGGTCGAGCGTCTAAGCTCCGAGGAGAATCGTCTAGGTGGTCAATGGGGCCTACATGGTAGCAGGTCAGATAATGGGGACCGTCTTCTGCAGCTTTGCGCGGATCACAACCTCTTTCTAGCCAGCACCAACTTTCAGGACAGACATCGCCGTAGCGCTACCTGGCGTCCTCCCCTGCGAAGCAAGCTTGGACTCAGATTGATCATATTGCTGTCAGTTTCCGGTGGTGAGGATGCATACAAGACTGCCGCACCCTCTGGAGCCCATTTCTGGACTCTGACCATGCGTTAGTACTTGCCAAGTTCGTCTTGTGATTTGGTGAGGTTCATCTAAACGTTGATGTGAGCAAACTAGTAGCACCTGCTACTTCTTTGAAATACCAGAATCAATTACAATCAATGCTTGCGAGATAGCTCGAATCGATGGCTTCAATTGTTATCGGATATGACCAAGAATCGTAATCAATGGCGAACGTGTTGCAATTTCCTTCTTTCTTCCCTTTCTGATGATAGTTAACGAATACTGTTTGATCTTGTTAAGTATGACTGTTTTTCTTCCAGATGAAGTTCTTTATCCGTTCTCTACTTATATTTTTTACTTTTGATGTATGTTGTTTTGTTATTATTGTGTGGCGCATCTTTCTTGGTGCCATATTGTACCAAGGTTTCTCTGAGTTTAAACAAATAAATAATACCCTCAAAGAAGTTCAATAATGTCACGACATTCAACAGATTGGGATCACACGGGATGACGTTGAGTGGGAAAAAAAAAGTTCTTCAAATTTGACCACAGATTAATATCGATTAGAGAACCATTAAAAACCAGTTCGGAATACTGGACAGCTGTTTCTTCAGTCTAGTTTGAGAATCATAGGCAGTAAGCACTTACACCGTCAGGGTTCAAACCAAGGAGCTTACGGTTATACGTCCAGCGAGCTCATAGACCATTAAGCCACTGGGACCCAACCCAATGGTTCCAACTTCTGCCAATTCATGATGCAACGCAACAAGTAGCCAGTGTCATCCATAACGAGTATTTGTCTTCACACCTAACCTGATGTACCTCCCATTGGTCGCGACTTGCCACACGAGAACCCAGGTAATTAACTATGGGTGTGAGGGCAGATAATAGCCATGGATGACAATGGCTAGTAGTCGAGTTATATCATCAGCTGGCAAGAGTTGGAATTCATGGGTTGACCGTTGGATAGGGTCCCAGAGGCTGATGAATGGTCTATGAGCTAGTTATCCTTGTAACCAAAAGGTCCTGAGGTTCGAATCCTTGTGGCGGGTGCATACTGCCGACGAGTCCCAAACTAGGTTGACGAAACAGCCTAGTTTGTCCAGTACTCCTTGCTAGTTTTCAATGGTTCTCTTGAAGTGATAACAGTCGTCCATGACCAAAACTGGATACTTCAGAGGCATAAGCTGACAAGAAAACTAACGAGAGAATGTAGTGCATGGTGTGCTAGGCAAACTCTGCTGATCGATGTGAGTAGCATCCAACTACTCATATACATATATATCAATAAGTAGTATGTAGCTTCATTCATTTATGTGATAGCTTTCTTAATTGAGCATTTAGGTAGCTATCAGGTAGACGACCATATATAGTCATCACAGTAATTTCAGTTTCTAAAACAACCTATGATGATAACAGTTCACCTTCAACTGTATGAATTGCAAATTACTTGTTCTGCTGAGAGGTATTGTATACCACCACTCATCGATAGGTCAGGTGAATAAGCTTACGATCTGTTCATGTGTTCACTCACTAGCTAATGAATACATACATAAATGCAACCGATGTATTGATTACTTCACCTACTTTTGTGCATACAAGGTCATCACTGGTGGGTGTATTAGAAATCTAGCCAAACTAATAATTTGCATAAATGTGAAGGATAAGGTACCAATCTGCTGGCTGGTCTCATCATCAGTGTGTATCGATCAATTCACCTACTCTCCTGTGAACATCGGTATGTTAGCCGTATGTAGTCAGTGCTTGCTAACCAAACATATCAGAGAAAGAACACTTACCACCCTCATGGTTTTATAAAGCAAAGGAGGAAAAAGAGTTCCCCCCCCCACTGCCCTATCCTGGAACACCTGATCAAATCTGGACACCAACGCTAACCCACCACACAGGAACGTCAAAGCTACCTAGCTACAGAATACGCGGGAATCTTGCTGAAACAGTACACTAATCAAACTTCTTTTAAAACTGCAGCAGCAATGGCAATTCAGATGTTAAATCCTAAATACCATAATTAGGTAAGTGCTTATTTTAATAATCACACACACAGTGATGATGATGCAGTATCGACAACTGGATGACACAAGGTGGCTTCGAGCATGAATTATTGACACTCATAGTTAGATCAATTTAGTCACATGGTCTCACAATTTGTCTTATATATAGATGTATATATTCTTTCTATTCTGTCTCTCTCTCCAACTCCCTTTGTTGTTTGTTGCCACATTCCACATCTCCAGCATAGGCGTCGCGTCACGTCATTCCGATGGCATGGGTTGTGTAGTGTTAAATTGATAAACAGAGCTTCAGTCAGTGATTAACCTTTCTATCACTCTCTCCACCTATCTCTATATTACTTTTTAATATTCTCACCCTGTCCCAACCACCTTATTGTATGTGATTACATGCAAGTGAATACCGTACAATGTCTGATCTTTGCTTTTTCCAGTTCATTTAACTTAACAGGATCAATTGTTCTACGTCTAACTAGTATAGTTAAGTGGAGAGAGAGGCTAATCACTGACTGCAGCTTTGCTCATCAATTTAACACTACACAATCCGTGCAATCGAAATGGCGCGATGCAACGCAATGCCTATACCGCAGATGTGGAGTGTGGCAACAAACAGCACAGGGAAGTTGCAAAGAAAGACAGTAAGAGGGAAAATATACTCACACATAAGACAAAATGTGAAAACGTGTGACTAAAATTGATATGATTATGAGCAGTAATAATTTATGCTCGAAACCACCTTGTCATCCAGTTGTTAATATTGCATCATCAACATTGTGTGTGATTATTAAAATTATTCATTATTATTATTATTCCCTTGGATTCCTAGTGGAACATAGGGCTTCAACTGCACATCTCCACTTGCCTCTGTCTTGCTTCTGCTGTACTTTTCACCTGCATCCACCATGTTAGTCCACACCGTTTCAACTCCTCTTCACACGATCTCCTCCATGTCACCCTTGTACTGACGTCCCACTCACCGCTTACCTTTCGGCCTGGTTCCACTCGAGCAATGGCCTGACGCGCGCGCGATGTCACTCAGCGGCCTCCTCAGCGAGTGTCCAATCCATCTCCACTTTCTCCTCCATATTTCTTGGGCGATTGGTTCTTGCTTTGTTTGTTAGTGCCCATAGTTTCTTGTTGGTGATTCTTTCCGGCCCGGCCATCTGATCTTAAGTACAGAGCCGGCGAAGACAGTTGTTGGTTGATAAAGGTCTGAAACAGGCTGTTGGAAATATTCTTTGTGACCCCCCGCCAAGTTTCTGATCGGTATAGAAGAGCTGATTGACTTGACGTTTGTATTGGTGATCCGACCGAATTTCGTTGTTGATGCTGAGTGACGAAGATTTCCAGATTAGATTGGTTTCAAGTTGATGTGTTTTTCGCCTTCCCGATACTCGCTCGATTTGACATCCTCGTCCGTTCCGACCGCCTGTAGTTGAGACAACGCTCCCTAGATAAATGGATGAAGTAACCTCTTTCAAATCCCTCCCGTTGATGGTGATTGGCGCTGGATGTTGGTGCTGTTTCCATAACCTCCGTGCTGTCTATGTTCACCTGGAGTCCTGTCCTCGCCGGCTGCTTCTTCGACCAGTTTGTTGGTTTCCGCTTGTAAGTTTTCGATTTTGTGTGACATCAAACTTATCTAATATGGGATTACATTCTACCAGCATAGTGCTCAAGTTTTACACTTACTTATATTAGTTAAATCCTAAACTCTGCAGACGAAAGTAGTTTATTTAGTCATCAGATCTACAATGGATCAGATGCGTCTAAACACTAGATACGCAATTTTTTTACTTTTTGTTTCTGAATTGCACTATACTCTTGTCTCACACCCTTTATATCAAATTTCTACCCTTCATTACACCACTGTTGTTAACTTGACTTTCGTTCAAATCTGAGGTGAATTCTACTGTCAATCTCGTCAGCCGTATTACGTCACTCAGTTTACCTATTTCAATTTCTACCGATCAACACCCTTTGCATTACGTAATCCAGTATCTAAACAATTTGCAATTTTAATGAAACGTCTTTGTAAATGTTCCTTTGGTTGCTGAGAAAATTATACATACACATGCAGTTCTAAAGATTGAGAGTGATAACGCCAACCACACCACAAATAGTTCGGGTTCGATCCCTGTCCGACGGAATCCTAAACCACGGCTAACCAGGAGACAGTAAGCCAGTGAAGAGGGAAGGTTGTTTGTTAATGGTGAGGATAGCCACCTCTCATGACGCTATCGAAACAACTTCATAGTAGCTCAAGCTTGATGCCTCATAATAATACAATACATACTACAACATACATTTTCAACAAATCACGTACACTTACCATAACCAGCCGGTCAGTCAGTCAGTCCATCAGTCCATTACTTAACAACGATCACTTTCTGGATTTGGTTTCAATAAAGTAGCACGTTCCTCTTCACGACGACGTTTAGCTTGAGCTCGTTCATAAATCAATATTATAATGCCAAGCACCAAGATTTCAGCAATAATTCCGATGAAAGGCCATAATGGAGCCAATTTACCTATAAAAAGAATTAGAAAACAGATAATTCATGATTACTGACTACCACACAAAAGGTCGCGAAATCTGACAGACTATTACAGTAGTCAAGGTACATACATATACATCACTGTTAGTATTTCCTCGGGCTCCTAGTAGAACATGGGGCTTCAACAGGACACCGTCATTTCACTCTCTTCTCTGACTATTTCTGTCTTTTTTTGGCTGGCTCTATACGACTACCCATGGGCATTTATTTCCTTTCCATGTCATCCACAGTCAACTCTGCTTTTCGTTTCCTCAATCGGATTCCATTTGATCGAACGATCGATCAGCAGGCGGTGTCATTCAACATTCTCCTCAGCCCGATTGGCAACCGACCACCAGCCATCACCACATTTTTCATTCTCCTGCATTTTTTGTTGGACGATAAGGTTCTTGACACGATTCAACTCTGACTTTTGCGTGAGTTAGGAGGTCACAACGAAGGCCAGCTTTCAGGTGTTGCATTACATGACATCATACAAAGGAAACCAAATAGGAAGTGAAATATATAACAGTGCTCAAAGGAAACCACCTATATATATTCAACCGGTATATGCAAATTTCAATTCATTTCACCATGTGTCAGTGTAAACAGGATTTATTTAGTGAAAATGTTTAAGTAGGTGATAGGGAAAAGATGGCTAAATCGTACGGAAGAAAATCTACGACAGCAGGAGGAGCACGAGGAGGAGATATATAATAATGGAAACGTCATACATGTATTCCCTTGAGGATATTGATGGTAAAGCAAGAAAAACAGGATCACATACTCTTTGGTGAACTGAAAAGTCGACAGATATTCACTCTTCTCATGTTAACTTCAACTGTGTATACAAATTGACGCGTATCCGCGTCAGCGGTTATACATTGGGAGAACAGGAAGAAGAAGGACACACCTCTGATTTTCTGAACAGCTATCAAAAAGACTAAGTCTCAAGGCAACAAACTCTTATAATAGTGCGATTACCAGGCATCTCCCTGATTGATACTGGTCATGAGGTGGAAATCGTGAAATCCTTTAAAGTTATTGATAGACAAAGGAGCTCGATTCTCCACAAGTTTCCCGAAGCAATTTTCTATCAAACGCTTGAAACCCGATTTATGTGTGTTCAGAAGGAAGAAGCAGTTATCGTCAGTCTTTCCTTGCCCATCCTGGTAATAACTGGGTGGCTTTACTGTCACTCTCTTCCATTTTATTACGTAATATTGTTGGTTTAAATCTCATCCCTTTGAAACAGGGCAATTCTGCTTGTCTCTCTGCTTCTATGATTTGAGTTGCACTTGGTACGCTGTTACCTAATTATTTAGTCACACATCATCTCACACATCTCTTGTCTTTATTACGTGACTCTTTTACCGTTGTATGCATGCATACATTTACTTTGTTCAAACTTGAACTCCCTGTGTAAAAGCTAATATAAGCGCAATTTTCTGAGCACTGTGTTCACTAAGTTCGGAACTGCCTGTCAACTGACATCCTGTCACCACATTTGCAAGTATGTTAAAACTTTTCTGTACATGAACTTAATAATTTATTTAGGCTCTAGGCAAGCACCTGAGCTGATGAGAAGCCGACGAAATCAACAATGATGGTGACATCTTTTTATTCTGCACAAACCGTCACCGAGTTGTTCTCACTTTATTCTCATAAGAGAAACTTTGAGGTTTTATAATTACCGTGACAGATTAGTGAGGAAGTATGTAGAGAGAATTATAAAAATATAAAAACGACATGAGCAATAAGGACGATTTACACACACACGGAGACACAAACACACTGAAGAAGACAACTCCACATGGGGAATTAAAAATATCAGTGATGCCTACCATAGAAATAGTGGGAAACTCTACTACCTTATATTTTGTTTTTAAGCGAGGCAACGGTAAAAGTGGAATTCCAATCCAAAAATTCACTCAGAAACAAATTAAGCCAGCTAAAGGATCCTGTGAAGCCCATAGGAAAAAGTAATTTAGTGTCAATTAGATTAGCGGAGCACACAAAAGACCTAGCAAAATCTGGATTAGTTGACTCTAAAAAGATAAGATATCTTAAGAAAACGCAACGCAGCTGTATAGCACACTACATGCAGTTGTCATAGACAACTATACAATACGGATGGGACAAGGTAACGGTCCTAAAATCTAACAGTAGAGTAGTGTAGCGAAAGGCTGAATAATCCCAATCTTCTTATTTATCGAATCTATTGAGAATGTATGCGACTGGAATATGATGCAACACTCCTCTCTGCATTCAGACATCTATAGAATTTTACTAGCCTTACACAGCAAATGGGGAAAGAAAGGAAGAATGAGAACAAGTCACAACTTTGAAATCCTGTTTTTTTTGTAATTACATTTGTTCATATTATTTCGGAACAATGAATTTATGTTTATAACGTCATCCGGTGAATAATAATAATAATACTGTTTCACTGTGTGTCATATATCCAATAAACATACAAATATGGAATTACATACCACCAATGTAGCGCGTGATGCAGACTGTGATAGGAAGCGGTCAACAGCTGAAATAAACATTTGAAGTCAATGGTTTGCTGGCTGACTGGCTGGCTGCCGAGGTGGAAGTGTTTATGCCTCGAATTTTGATTTAGTTTCTACACGTTGGACAACTTATTTGACAACTGGACCAATTGCCAATCGATCAGAACAATTTACTGTCTTCTAAACTACCTACCAACCTGAACGGAATTTAATATGGCTAAGAATGGATCAACATGATTTGTTTATTATCAAGACTTTTATCTTTACCCGTTACATGAGTTTGCGATTTTATCAATACAACACATATTAAGTTTATGATCAGTGTGGTTCTCCGAGTCGAGTATGAGAGACTAATACTGGCCGACTACAATGACAGGTGGCGGCATTCATTTGTTGATCGAAGTTGCAATTCTATGGACTATTGGAACCCAATCTCAGTGCAGCGCCTGAATGCTTAACGTGATCGTCCCATAACTCAAACGCCTTAAGTTCAGCCTCCAGTGGGTTCATGAGTGCGTACTACTTAAAGAATCCCAAACTGGGATTAAAAGCAGCTATCTGGTACCCCTTGGTAGTATCTGTCGAAAATGATGTGCAGCAGTTCAACTTTTCAGAACAATAATAGTTGAAAAGAACAGTTGTGGCTTCAATAAATTCCACTTCTCCTTCTTCAGGCTCTATAATTATAAATCCATTAATTAATCTAAGCATACAATAACCAGTTAGCCAGCCAGTAAAGGCAAATTAGAATCATATCAGAAGTGTGTATTGTGGAACAAGTATAAATAAGATGGGATGGAACAGTAGTCAGTTAGTTTATGAATATGATGCATGGTCAATGAGAACATGAGTGGAAATGAGAAGTAATCAATCAGTGGTGTATGAGAGGGACAATATGATTACTACAGAAAAATAAACCAATGAAGCGGATGAACTAGACATAAGTAAATTTAAGGGTGAAAATAACGACAATAATAATGATGATAGTGAAATAATAACAGTGATGTGGTTAAACTTAAAAGTACTATTGGTGAAATTAATGAATGTGTAAAACTTGGGCACTGTGTTAGTAAGTAATTCCATATTAGTTTGTTTATTAGATGTATCACACAGTCACTGAAACAGTATTAGTAATTACTGGCTGACATTTCGAACAAAATTTATTGTTCATAATCATATCAATTGTAACCACATGACTTTGAAACTTGATTTTATTAGTTTTCTTTGTCTTCTCCTATTTTTCGTATGGGTAGTAGAATTCTCCAGATATCTGGGTGAACAGGTGTTGAGTCATTCCTACTACACGTATTCTCAGCCAGTTGATTCGATGAACAAAGCTTCCGTTATCAATCTCTCCCTCTATTCACCCTGTGACATTAGATTTTAAAACTGTCATCCTATCCCATTCCATCCTATTGTATGGTTGTGTGTAACTGCATGTAGTGAGTGCTATAGCTGAATTATTCTTTAGATTTCTTATCTTATTCGGGTCAACCAATCTAGATTTTGTTAGGTTTCTGTACTTCGCTAGTCTGACTGCCCTGTTCTACACGTTTGACCTGCGCATTTGACCTGACAATCATTGTAGGCAGGATATTAGATAAGCTAAATTGTTTTGTTTTAAAGGCTCCACAGGATCCTTTAACCGACAAGGTTGTTTCTAACTAAGTTTGTGGGGCGTTTGAATGGCAGTCAGCTATAGCACACACAACATGCAATTACGCACAACCGTTCAACATGGGATGGGATAAGATGACAGTTTTAAAACCTAATGTCACAGGGAGAGATTGATAACAGAAGCTTTGTTTATCAATGTTAGGAAGAGGCAAAAACACATGCAATTATCAGGTCATTATCATGTCTCAGTCAAGTTATTATCGCGTTATTAACAAGTCGTTGACATGCAATTGTCCCTGCTTCTGATTGGACGCTTGCACAATTCCAAACTCTCAACCGGATTGGTTGATTTCCAGCCTACCTTATTTTTGTATAAATACAGTCACTTTTGTCATAATAAATGATTCTGGTTTTACCGCTGATTATCGCGTGTTCTGCTTTAACAGTTAAGTGGGCACTGGTCAGTAGTTAAGCAGTTACCTCGCGACAAAGATCTAGCATCATAACAAACAAATCAACTGCCAGAACGTGTAATAAGAATGGCGAAGTACAAGAATAGCGTCCCAGGAGTGCGAACGCTCAAATGACCTTGAACGCATGCTAGTCGTTGGCTAACGGGATCTGTCATTATCATAGCTGAAATATCAACCCTATTCATCAAATAAGGAGCAAGTTTCACCCAGATCACGCTTTTAATTACTGTTTGGATAATGTGTTAACATCTCGTTAGGGTTAGGATTAGGGTTAAGGCTAGTATTGGGGTTAGAGTTCGGGGTTACCGTCATAATTGGGATTAGGGTTAGGTTTACGGCAGGATAAGGAGTCATTAGGGTTAGGATTAAGGTTAGGGCTAGTGCGAAATTTAGGTTTAGGGTGAGGATTAAGGCTAGGGTTAAGATTAGGAATAGATTTTTCATTTATTTCAACTTGTTTTATTATCCTAAATTTTCCTTGTATGTAGTCGTCGATCCTCTTACTGAAACCATAGTAACTTAACCTAGGGCTTTGGAGAGGACTGCACAGCAAGAGAAGAGAGATGATCGATTCACAAAACAACAAATCTTCAGTTTCTTTGGTGCATACATCTACAGAAACTGGTCCAACTTAGCAACTGATAATCTTCATCATAACTGGGACGTATTTTTAAGTCATGTCAGAGAAAGATAATCTGTTTAATGTGTATTCATGCATTTTCTTGTAAATATACGTCATTTTTTGTGCATAAATTCCTCATTTTTATGATTGGCAGGCTGAAGGTCACTCGTGCGTTCGCATCACTTGGGACGCTATTGTTGAACTTTGCCATAAGAATGATCCAACACTTGTCCCAGATATCTGGAAAATTCTACTACCCCAACGACGACGACAAATAGGAGAGGGCAAAGAAAACTATAAAACTGAAGTTTAAAAGTCGTGTAATTACAATTGATATGATTATGAACAGTAATAAGTTTTGTTCGAAATGTCATCCAGTAAATAATAATACTATTTCACTGTGTGATATATCTAATAAACAAATATGGAATTACTATTGGTGAACGATTACCACATATCAAATAATAATGAATCTAGTGAAGTGGAATGAACAGGATTTTGTAAATGTGATAAGGAGATAGGAAAAAGCACTACTTAAACCTAAGGTAACAGCAGAAATCATAAGAAAGGTCATAAAATCATAAAAAGTCAAAAATGAACATTTGTCAATGACACAAAGGAGCAGAAGAAGAAGAAAAGAGAAGACAACAGAAATTGTGAGAGGAATTTAAAGTGCTAATGTTTACGGAAGATTTATTAGACTAACTGTAGACCAAGGGTAAGCATAGCCGTTTGAGCATACTTCCTCTGTGTGTATACAAAGAGTTCAACCTTTCCCACCTTTAAAAAAGCACACATTCATAAGAGGAGACAAGAAATTCAAAGGGACCACATAATGAATGGAAATGTACGACACAAAGAATAATCTACACAGAAAATAATGAGAATTTGACGGATCTGGAGAGTTCAAAAGAATAAAGGCATTTATCCCACTGACAACGATTTCGACTGCTGTTGTCTGTTACCAACAGTCTCCAGTCATTCGTAAAAACAGGTTGATGACGATGATGGTGCAATTTAAATAAAAACCAGAATTAGAAGTAAAAATAGGTGGACAGTGACTAACAACAGAATAAATATTGTGCATTTCATCCTATCAGCGACTCCTCATTTGGAAGTACATGCATTCCCCAATACCCATAGTTTCAAAGGCCGAATCATTGTCCACTAGACCACTTGATCCACAAAACTTTGGCCTTTGAAACGATACCTACACTGGATTTGAGCCTCACAGTAGGAACATGATCCACTATCACTTCACTGAGGAATAACAGTGTTACCTCCACTGGCTGACAACTAGTCCTAAATAGGATGATGAAATGTGCATCCTGATGGATTCCACCACCACTGCTAGTCAGTCACCCACCATCTATCAATTTACTTCAAAAGTTAAATAAATGATATAAGTATAAAACTTGGGCACTGTGGTAGAGTATAATTCCATTATAGATAAGATTTTATTCTGATAAATCGCACAGTGTTTACAGTTATATGAACTGATGACGTTTCGAGCACAAACTATTGCTCATAATCATATCAATATGATTATGAGCAATAGTTTGTGCTCGAAACGTCATCAGTTCATATAACTGTAAACACTGTGCGATTTATCAGAATAAAATCTTATCTATAATGGAATTAAATAAATGAGCAAAAACATCATCAAAGCATGTCTGCACAAGGAAAGGAGACGATGACACAGGTCAACCTGAAGCCAAACACAATAACACTTCAGTCCAATCAATCAATCAACCAACGGGAAAGTGTCTACATCGATTCCGTTTATAGAAAAAACAAGATGAACACATACACACACAATTGTGTAATGGGTCTTACTTTTAATACGAACTTCTAATAGCTGACTATCTGATCCTAATCTTGATGTAGCTGTGCACAAGTAAAATCCAGTTGAATCGGATGCATCACTCCATTCCATTATAGCATCTCTAGTTGTTCCGTGGGCTTTGAAAACGGCCTAATATAATAATAATAACAATAATAGTAATAATAATGCAAAATTAATACAATGATTATGACTACTACAAAAAAAATATCAAGAGATAAGAAAAAAAATGACCAAACCACCTCCACCAGTACACCAATAATTAAAAAAAAATTCTGAACATGTGAAGGTCAGTCACTTAGAATAAGTTATACACTGTAATTATTATTATTATTATTATTATTAGACGGCTGGTGGATATGAGAAGGAAGATTTGAACCTAGGTTTCGTGCTTGTCGGCACTCACCAGTCAGTCACAATTGGTGACATGGCTCAAAATCGTTCTCAGTGGCGCAGATGCATCCACTCCTTGTGACTTATGATCTCCAATGAAACTGTTTTGTTTTTCTTTATTACTCCTTTGTCTCACCCTCTGCTCACTGTTTCTATTATGCTTTTCTTGTACTTTCTTCTCTTACTTCGCGTGCTACACGGAGTGTGGCGACTTGAACTTCCGCACATTTGTGCAAAGTTCTATGTCGAAAACAGACAGACAGACAGACAGACCAGTCAGTTAATCACCACCAACCATTTGCTCCTATCAGATGTTAGGTGCTCGAGAACTAGGCTACATCGACTCACTCGTATCATAAACATGGGTAGGAGTGAAATAGTGGCTGGCCGCCATGTTGACCACTTCACTTGTTTAGGAAGTTGCATTAGCCCTTCTTCCATCAGCAGGTCGATCGTTGATAAAATCTCATCGCGGATGCAGGAGGTTCGTGCGGCATTTACCAAACTACACCATCTCTCGCGTAGACATGATATCTAGCTGGTTATCGATCAAAAAATGTGGATACTGGTCAACAGTTTTCTCCGTCCTCCTCTTTTATGGCTGTAAGTGAGACATGGTCATTGAAAGTGGAAGACATGCAAAGCCTCGCTAGCTGTCTTTGACCACAGGTATCTGCGTTCCATCCTCTATGTTCAGTGATATAATATGGTGAGCAATATTGAGGTTGCTTATGTGTCGAGTATTAGGTGAGGAGGGAAAATCTATCGACAATGTCGTGAATGCATATGGATTCAGATGGTTAGGACACGTATTATATCTAAACCAAGCCACAACCTGTCTCTCAAAGAGCAATTTTAGCCGACATAGGAGGATTAGGTCGGAAAATAGCCAGCGGTGGCTAAATCAAAACAAGGAATCGGCCCATGAGTCAGTCCCCATAGGGAGGTGCAGACTGCCAGTTTCTTTGAGGTCCTCAGGATACCGAAAACCAATGAAGGCTGAACACAACTGGTGGTATGGCTGGAAGTTATCTTCAATGGCTGACGCAGATACATTCACTCACTGTAACTTGCCATATCAATTAAACTTTATTGTTTTTCCTTTGTCACCATTATTTCTTTCTTTGCTTATACTATCGTTCTTCTGAATCGCTTTTTTCCTCTCTTGTGTACTTCATGGAATGTAGCAACTTCTGTGCAAAGTTCTGTCTCACGAGTCCAATAGCTGAATAATCGCCAGGCAAACCAGGTTCGACTCTCTGCGAACACACTCTTAATACCTAATATAGTCGGTAGTAGGTCTGGAAAAGAAGTTAGGCTGGATGTGAAGCTAACAACGCCCACCTGATAAAAAAGCAACCCACCCACCACACCTACTGAATCCAGGATGCGTATTTCGTCCTATTTAGGACTAGTCATCTGTGAATGTGTCAGCATTCTTCAGTGAGTGAGCTTCAAATACAGTACCACTTGGATGACAACGGTCATCTCTTGTGCGTGACGTGTGTCATTCACCACTTAATTTCGATTTTCAAATTGACTGATTGGACCGAAGTGTCCGGCCTTTGTAGTTTATCGTTGTACAAATGGTCTAGTAGACAACGCTTCGGTATTTGAAACAATGGGTACTGGGGTTCAAGTCTCCGTGGAGGAACAACCATCACTCACCGGGTAGTAGTGAAGGTATATCCACTGATTGAAGAATCCCAATTAAGACGAAATGTGTATCTGTACAAGGAGACGACAACAAGTCAACACAGAGGTCGAAGAACACTTTAGTCCAACCAATCAACGGGAAAATTCAAGTTGAATTAAGTAGATTAGTTGCTTATTTCTCTTGAAATTCACAAACACACAGAAGATTCAGTGTATTGTAAAACTAAACTATACACTACCTTAAAAAGTTTAAACAAACACAACTCTTACATTAGTTACTGGTAATAATTGTGCAGAACTCCCGTCCTTCTTCTCCACAAGACGTTTCCAACTGACTTGATTTGCTGCAGGGAAACCATCAATTTCACATAGAACAGATAATGGATTTCCTTCGTGACCACGAACAGCGCTGAATCTTGAACGGATTATAGGTTGAGCTAAAAATGCATTATATACAGGCGCATAAAGAGGAAACTTGTTATTACAGTAAACAGAAATAAATAATAATACTTCTTTCTTTTTTTCTATGTTGACAAGTACTTCTAATCGTATTATAGGCTACTGTTCCAATGGGTTCTCTGAGCGGAATATCACGTTTGACAACAGCACATCTGCTCCACGTCATCCTCCCTACTCTACAGCCACGTTTAGCTTGCTTTAAAGGTCTTTTTAGTGTATGGTCAACAATCAGTGTCCATCACACTATTTCCTTCAGGCTACTTGTTGGACTATGGATTTTCATTGATTCGTTGTCTGACAGATTCATTTCCCTGTAGCTTATCATTCCCGGCTAGCCAGCTGTTGCTAAAAGTTTGAAGTCTGGTGATGCGCCAAGTCTCTGAAACTGGCTGGCTGGATTGACATTAGCGACTGCAACAGATTACCACACGCTGATTTCAAATTGACGAAGGTCTGTCTGTCTGTCTTCTGACTAATTGTCTGGTTTCAACGTAAAACTTTGCACAGATGTCCAGCAGTCCGAGTTGCCACACACTCCATATCCAAGTAGCACACAAAGCAAGAGAAGAGAGTAAAGAGAGAGATAAGATAATAAACAGAAGTGCGAGTAAGTGAGGGAAAAAGAAAAGTAGTAGCATGGAAGAACAATAGAGTACTTCCATTGGATGACATGAAAAATTACAAAGAGTGAGTGCATGCGTCTACACCAGCCATTGACAACGAATTTCAGCCATATCACCGATAATAGCTGTCTCCAGTCACCATTGGTTCTTACCATCCATCCCAAGGAATCCAATCAGCCTGATAGTCTTCATCTCCCTAAGTGAATGACTGGATTAAGCCACCCAGCCAACCATATTTCTTGACTTGAAGGCGGCCTTCAACTCCGTGGATCGAAAGGTACTATGGCAATGTCTGACTGTGAAGGGAGTGCCAAGAAAGTACATTGCACTAATCAAGGCACTCTATTCAAACTCACGTAGTCGTGTAAGGGCTTATGGGGAATTGTCATCTGAATTGGTAACAACCAGTGGTGTCCGACAGGGATGTCCACTTCCCCATTTCTGTTTAACTTCATCATAGATATCCTGATGGAAGTATCCTTAACTGAACGTAACGACATAGGAATCGACTGGTTACCAGGGAATAGTCTTCTAGACTTAGAATATGCAGATGACATAGTCCTGTTAGGGGAGGATCCTGACAAAATGCAGAGTCTTCTGAACACCTTGAGCAGCAATCTTCGTATGTTTGGCATGCGATTCGCCCCTGCAAAATGTAAGATGCTGCTACAGGACTGGACGACGTCAACCCCTAACTTAGTGATAGGGAGTGAAGTGACAGAATATGTTGACCACTTCACCTATTTGGGAAGTTGTATCGGCACCAACGGACTGATTGGCGACGAAATCTCACCACGGATCCAAAAAGCTCGAGCTGCTTTCGCTGACTTACACCATCTCTGGCGTAGGCGTGACATCCGGTTATCAACCAAGGGATGTGTGTACTGCTCACCACTTCGCTCCGTCCTTCTCTATGGCTCTGAAACATGGCCAATACGAGTTGTTGAAGACATGAAAAGGTTGACCGCTTTTGATCATAGATGTCTGCGATCTCTGTCTCACGTTAGGTGGTATAATGAGGTAAGTAATGTTGACGTTAGGCGTAGAGTGTTGGGCAGACAAAGAGAGAAAATCAATCGACGAGGCTATAAAGTTACATAGATTGAAATGGCTAGGTCACGTGCTGCGCATGCCTAACCACCGCCTCCCCCGACGGGCATTTCTAGCTGATATAGGCGCAGGTTGGAAAAGAGCCAGTGGTGGCCAAACAAAAACATGGCATCAATCCATGAAATCCTTGACAGTTAAACTGAGTCAGGTAGGGAGATGCAGACTTCTGGGTTGGGGCCCTCGGGACTCTAAGAATCAATGGCTGGAGACAATAGGTAACATGGCTCCAAATCGTTGTCAATGGCACCGATGTATACAGTCTCTGTAATTTTTCAATTTCTCTCTACCATTACCCATTGTGTTTCGCTCTTATACCTGTCAAACTCTATTGATTCTCTTCACTCATCTTCTTGTCTACCTTTGTGTGCTATTTGGAACGTGGCAACTCGAACTGCTGCACTTCGGTGCCAAGTTTTATGTTGAATCCAGAGAGAGGGAGACACCCAGCCAGCCAAGTAGGGAGGTGTAGACTGGCTTCCTGGTCGAGGTCATCGGGTTGGGTAAAAGCCAAATGGAGGCTAGAGACAGTTATCAGTAGTAAGGCTGAAAATAGTTCTCAGTCAGTGATCGTGCAGACTTATCATATCCAATAGAAATCTATTGTTCTTCCATATTACTACCGTTCTTTTTGCCTCACATCCCTGTTTATTATCTCTCTCTCTTTACTCTCTTCTCTTGTTTTGTGTGCTACACATGAAGGAATAGCGGAAAGTTGAATTTTTGATGCACATCTGTGCAAAGTTCTACGTTTCATATTAGTTTGTTTATTAGATATATCACACAGTGAAACAGTATTATTTACTGGATGACGTTGCGAACAAAATTTAGTGTTTATAATCATATATCATTTGTAATCACACGACTTTGAGACTTGAATTTTTTATAGTATTCTTTGTTCTCTCCTATTTGTCATAGGGGTAGTAGAATTTTCCAGATATCAGGGACAAATGATGAACCATTCCTATTACATGTATTGCCCCTCAGTTGATTCGATAAACAAAGCTTCCGTTATCAATCTCTCCCTCTATTCACCCTGTGACATTAGATTTTAAAACTGTCATCCTATCCCATCCATCCTATTGTATGGTTGTGTGTAACTGCATGTAGTGAGTGCTATAGCTGAATTATTCTCTAGATTTCTTATCTTATTCGGACCAACCAATCTAGATCTTGCTAAGTTTTTATGTTCGGCTTGTCTGACTGACTGCACCTGTTATACTACCTTAACCTATACATTTGACATGACAATTATTGTGGGCAGGGTATTAGATAAACTAAATTGTTTTGTTTTAAAGGTTCCACAGGATCCTTTAGCAGACAAAGCTTGTTTCTAATTGAGTTTGTGGGGGTTTGAATGCCAGCCACTTTTATTCCTGCCTTGTTAAGAATTCTGCGTAAGGCTTCCGAGGTTCCTTCCTTGTATGGAATTACTGTTGATGATTTAGATTCTTTATTGTTGGTGTCGTCATTAATATTATTATTATAATCACTATCGCTACTATCATTATTTATTTTTAGATTTCCTTACATATTTCCTGACTAATTTATCCGGATAATTATTAAGTTTCAAGGCTTCTTTTATGTATATCATTTCTTGTCTTCGATTTTCCTCAGTACTACTTAGTTTTTGTGCTCTGTCACTTAAACATTTTACCAATCCTATTCTCTATGACATAGGATGGGATGATCTGAAGTCAAATATCTGTTTGAATGTATGGGGTTTTCTGTGAACACACACTAGTGTGTTTAACTTCCCATCATCTTCCCTTTTTACGTTGCAATCTAACATTGGAAGCTCCCCTTCCTTCCTGACTTTCCAATTCATCATAAGTGAATTGAATTGCCTCTACCTTTGAGTTGATGTGTTCGTAAAACTCAAGTTTCAAAGTCGTGTGATTACAATTGACTGGTATGATTATGAACAGTAATAAATTTTGTTCAAAACTGTGTCATCCAGTAAATAATAATAATAATAATATTTCATTGACTGTGTGATACATCTAATAAACAAAGTAATAGGGAATTACTTATTACCACAGTGCCCAAGTTTTATACATATATTAATAAAGTTCTACGTTGAAACCAGTCAGTCACAGCCCTCCAACAAACGATAAGATTTTATGTGGTGCAACTCTTGGTGGTGATACTGAACCAAAGTTTTTAAATAAATTATATATATGTATAAGGAATATAAATTATATACTTTACAGTATATATGCATAAGACCTACATGTAATTTGACAATTACCACTATGTGGTGAACCATCCTTTGTGTTGACAGTAAGAGTCCAAGTACCAGTGACACGAGCAGCTATACAGAGGTAGGTAGGTAGGTAGATAGTTAAGTGGGATTAAAACACATGACTAAAGAGGCTAAATATGACAAAATTTACTTGGCATTTTTAGATGAAGTGAAAATACATAACCAACAGCATTTTTATCATATTTGTAATAGACATCTTGGTTATCACTGTCACCAATATTCATTACCACATCATTGTGTTTCCATGTAATTGTATCAGGCTATATATGTAACAAATTATTAAATAGTATTAGAAGGTAGCTTGCATACATCAATTTCCTTTTTCTCGGTGAAAACCATATATTTCACTGTGACAGGAATAGACTTATTCACATGAGCTTTTTTATACGATATTTCATGTTGGTGAACATCTTCAAAGTAAACCTCCAATTTCATGCCTTTTTCACAGTCAACTAAAAATAAAGACAAAACAAAATAAATAAATAAATAGAAAGTCATAAAAAGAAAAGATAATCAGGCATGAAAAGTAACCAAAAGCTGACGATGATGATAATGACGACGATGGTGTGTGTGCAGACAATGTTTTTTTTCCTTCACATTCTCCAGTGGAACATAGGGAGCCCTCAAGCTTGAAGTTTCTGTAGCAGTGCAGTGGTGATTATTTTTACAAGATGGGGTTGCTAGCCAGTCTCATGCCCACCCAACCTTTCGTCTTTACCACCTGTTTTATTACTGGCTTAGCGAGGTAAGGGAGGAGTGCGTCAGTGGCCAGGGATCGAACTCCGGACCATATGCATGGTTGGCGAGCGTCCTAACCGCTATGTCACCAACGACGCATGCAGACAATGTTTACAAGAGTTCAAACACACACTGTAGCACTACTACTACTCTGGTGTTGAAAAGAATAGAGGAAAAATATCTACTAACAAACATCTTCAAAAAGAATCGATAACCTCACCATAATTTCATCACCCCAGAAAGTGTTTAAACTCGAGGGATAACACCAACAACAGATCATAATCAAAGACCACAGGAAAATTCCTTCTACCCTATGTATATAAGAATATCTGATATAACTAACATCTAGAATGTTAAGACCGTTTGAAATAGATATAGCACACAAGCCAGCCAGCCATTTCATTCGATATTGTGCAAACCAAAAGACCCATTCAACAGAAAAACAAGATAAAATCAATACCATTTACAAAATAAATTGCATGTATGAACTGTAACAGATATTAGATCGGTAAACAAAGTGGGCGTCCCCCCCCCCTCGAATCTGCATCCAAGAACACAAGTCGGGTGACAAAAAGGCACGACAGGTATTCCCGTTTCATATCAATCAATATATGTAGATAATTATGGAAACCAGTTTGATTGAGGTAATGTAATAATCTTAAATAAAGGAAACACTAAAAGTGCCAGAGAATTTCTAGAAGCCTGGTACTCAAGTGAATCAGCCAGCGATTAACAAACATTAATATAGACCAAAAAGCAAATCATGTGACAAGAAAGTTCAAATTCCAAGTCATCATTAAAAATGATCAACGGAGACGTAAATCAACTACCAGTCAATAAGATGGTTGCCAAGCGACACAATTATACCATTTTTTCTTCCTTTACATTCTTAGTGGAACATAGGGCCCCTTCAAGCTAGAGGCTTGCTCGACTAGCATGTGACAGTGAAATCTGGATCTTAAAATAATAGACCAGATCACTATCCGGAAATTTTATGCTGCATGACTGGAAATATACGGTGTGAAGAACATGAATGCCAACAAATTCTATGCATAAATCTAACATAAAAGCCTAGTCAGTTAAAAGCATAGGTCATTATTCGAATCTTAGACAGAGACCCCTGATACTTCAAAACAACTGTCGTGACCAGTAGGGTACAGCAGGTCGGATGTGAGGACAATGACATTGGCTAGTGGTCGCGCTATGTTGTGAATTGGCAGAAGTTAGAATTCATGGGCTATTGGATAGGGTCCCATCGGCTTAATGATCTACGAGCTCGTTAGCAATGTATCCTGAAGGTCCTGGGTTCGAAACCCTGTGGTGAAGAGTCTCACACTAGGCTGATGAAATGGCTGATTGTCCATTACTCCCAGGTAGTTTTCCAATGGTTCTCTAAATGACGTCAGCTCATGATAAAATCCTGTAATCAAATCAACTGTCTTTTTAACGATTACTAACACTATGATCTCACAAGAAAATTAAAGACTTTCCAAACAAACATGGAGAACAGGTTAAAGAACCAATAGGCAACAAATATTTAATCATAACATATTCAGATAGTAGTTAGCCAAGTAACACTTGCTTTACCATTGATTTGGAAGGTAACTTTCTGAAATTTTAGAGTAACTCACAAGGACATTTCCAGGATCGAAAACTCCAATATGACTGGAGAGTGTACATTATCACTTTGATATACGATTGGTTATTCACATTGTGGTTGTTTTTCTATGCAAACAAATACACGATAACATCCTGAATATTGAAGTATGTTCCTCACAAATATTGAAGAAACTGCCATTCAATTCATATGTCCTTAAAACGCTGATTTCCTCTTCTTCAACAATGGGACCTACTAAGTCCTTGTTATTCTTAAGGTGTTTTAGGGCTTCTACCTCTAGTTTCGTCAGGTTAAGCTTTCCTCCTTTTTTTGTTGTTTTAGTGTCAGTGCACATTGTGCCAGTACTTCATCGGCCGTTGTTTTGTCTATCCCACTTAGTGCTATTTCTATTTTAGGAATGACATCCTCAGGTTTCAGCTTACCTACCACTACAACGAAATTTAGTCCCTTTTCTTATACATTTATTTCTGTGAGACTTGACACATATAGCTCCATCTTAGAACATCTGATAGAATCCGGACATCAAGCTACACCGCAAACAAACTTCAAAGTCGTCTACAGAGTAAAAATTAGTCTTCCTAAAGTGTACGGATCAGACTTCTTCAAACTGCAGAAGCAATGGAGATTCACTTGCTAAGTCCTGAACTTGCATACAGAGGGAGTTCGTTCGATCACTACACTTGCAATGGACGTAATCTATCTTATTACCCGATAAGTAAATTCTACCTAATCCTTTTCTCTTCTGTCTCTTCATTAGTATTACTTCGTTTTCTTAATTGTAATATTTTACATTTTCAATGCAAGGACGGACAGGAGAAGGAGACACTGAGCTCAACTTACACAGCACTGGACAAAGAAGTGAAGAAGAGTGCTAGGAAGGACAAAAGACGATTCTACGACAACCTCGCCACTGAAGTTGAGAAGGCAGCAGGCAAAAGGGACCTGAGGACACTATATCAGATAACCAAATCTCTATCCGGGAAGAGATCAACACAAGTGAAACCTATAAAAGACAGCCAAAGGAACCCAATTAACAAGGAAGAAAAACAGATTAAACAATGGACGGATCACTTCAAAGGACTCCTGAACCGACCATCACCTGCAACCCGTCCAGAAATACCAACAACAGCGCGCACACAACTGCAAGTTGACACCAATCCTCCAACGAGAGCTGAAGTCTTGAACGCAATCAAGCTTCTGAAAGCTGGAAAAGCAGCCGGACCAGATGGAATACCCCCTGAAGCACTGAAAGCGGACCCAGAGACTACAGCAGACATGCTGACTCCATTATTGCAAAAGGTCTGGAAGGAGAGAAAGGTGCCTACTGACTGGAGGAAAGGTTACCTCGTGAAACTACCAAAGAAGGGCGACTTAGGACTCTGCAAGAACTGGCGAGGAATCATGCTCCTGTCGACGCCAAGTAAAATCCTGAGTCGCATCATCCTGGAGAGATTAAAGGACGCACTGGAGACAGAACTCCGACCAGAACAAGCTGGATTCAGGAAAGCCAGGCAAATCATGTACTGACCAAATTGCAACTCTACGCATCATCATCACAGAACAAAGCATGGAATGGCAACCAAACCTCTACCTCAACTTTATGGACTTTGAGAAGGCCTTCGACAGCGTCGACTGCGAAGTGATTTGGAAATTACTCGAGTACTATGGCGTACCCCAAATATTCATCAACCTTATTCAACAGCTGTACAACAACGGCACATGTCAAGTCATCCACAACGGAAAACTCAGCAAGGCGTTTGGAGTAAACACAGGAGTCAGACAAGGGTGTTTATTATCACCAATGATATTCCTAATTGTGGTGGACTGACTGGATTATGCGTCAGACAGTGGGAAACGAGAAGACAGGAATATCCTGGACAGACAGACGTGAAGAACCTAGAAGACCTGGATTTCGCTCGTGGATGATTTATGTTTGATGTCCCACACAAGCGAAAACCGACAAACTGGTCGAAGAAGCAGCCAGCGAAGACAGGACTCCAGGTAAACATAGACAAGACGGAGGTGATGAAAATAACCAACCAACAACAGCAACAACATCCAACGTCAATCACCATCAACGGGAGGGATTTGAAAGAGGTTACTTCATTCACTTATCATATAGGGAGCATTGTCTCAACTACAGGGGGAACGGACGACGGTGTCAAATAGAGAATCGGGAAGGCGAGAAACACATTCATCAACCTGAAATCAATCTGGAAATCTTCGTCACTCAGCATCACCAACAAAATTCGGACTTTCAATACAAACGTCAAGACAGTCACTTCTTCTATACGGATCAGAAACTTGGCGGATCACAAAGAATATTTTCAACAGGCTATTGCAGACCTTTATCAATAACTGTCTTTCTTCTATACTAAAAATCAGATGACCGGAAAGAACCACCAACAAGGAATTATGGGAACAAACTAAGCAAGAACCAATCGCCAACCAACAAATATGCAGGAGAAAGTGGAGATGGATCGGATACTCACTGAGGAGACCACTGGGTGACATCGCGCGTTAAGCCCTCGAGTGGAACCCGAAAGGGAAGCGGCGTGTGGGACGTCCAAGGGTGACATGGAGGAGATCGTGTGAAGAGGAGTTGAAAGAATATGGACTAAAATGGATGCAGGCGAAAAGTACAGCAGAAGACAGAAGCAAATGGAGACGTGCAGTTGAAGCCCTATGTTCCACTAGGAACCCAAGGGAGCAATAATAATATAATAATAATAATACATTTTAAACTTTCTTGTTCTCTACCCCCACCCGATTTAATTCCTACAGCTCACTGCCACTTGACTTGATCAACGCTTAATTTTTAGTCATTTATGTTACGTCAGGCAACTTATTTGCCCAATTTCAGTTCTAATTTAAATGACATTATTCTGTACCCCACCCCTACTTCGTCTCTACCTGTAATTACCTCAGTTGCTACCCTGACCTAAGTTGGAACATTTTAGTCAATTATATTACGTCATCTAACTTACTAACTCAATCTTAATTTAGCTGCTGTCTAATTAACCTTGTTTCTACATTAGATCATTCTTGTATTACCTGATTAATTATGTAAACTTGACAAACCTCATGTACACACACACACACAAATAATTACATACAAATGCGATTGTACAGCTATGTGAATGAATTCGCCGTTGAAAAAAGAGTCTCTTCGCTGAACGTCTTCTCTCTTTCACTTGACATACATGCTGAAAGATAGATAACTCACTTTGTTTTATCGATCGCTGTTGACTTTAGACCTTGAGACCTACTGCTAAAACGATCTAATTCTTTTGGTAGTAATTTGTAGCAATTTTTAGTACACTAAAGGTATGCTGAAGAGACTTTTATAATTTGCCTTAATGGTTGTCACTTTAAGCATGTTCATAAGTTGATGTCATTAATTCCATTATGGGTAAATTTTGTTTTGATAAAGTCTCACAGTGTTATACAGTAATGTTTACTGATGACCCCGTTTCGAGCACAATTTATTACTACTGCTCATAATCATATCAAGGTAATCACACGACTTCCTAAATTCATTTATATAGTTCCATTGTTTTTCTCTTGATTTTCACTTGATTTGATTGGTAATAGTATTTTCCATATTTCAGGTATGAGTGATGAGTCATTCCTATTGCATGTGTTGGGTGTAGACTCGATGAACAGGGATTCAGTAATCAACCTCTCTCTCCACCTATCTAGATTACTTCTTAGAATTTTAACCCTCTCCCACCCTATTGTGTGGTTGTGTGTTAATGCATGCATTGCAATTGCTGAGCTTTCTTCTAAATTACTTATCTTCTCGGGGTCAACCATTCTTACCTTAGCTAAATTCTTATGTTCTGACAATCTGACTACCCCTGACCTACTAGTTTGACCTATGTAGTTGACCTCACAGTCAATGCATGGTATTTTGTAAATAATATTATTTTGCCTAATTGGGTCAACTGGGTCCTTTAACCTAGAGAACTTGTCCCTGAGTGAGTTTGAAGGTTTAAATGCCACCCTAATTCCTACTTTATTCAGAATCCTACGTAGTGTCTCAGATGTCCCCTTTTTATATGGTATGACTGTGGATGACTTATATTCTCATCCTTGTTCATCGAGTCTACACCCAACACATGCAATAGGAATGACTCATCACTCATACCTGAAATATGGAAAATACTATTACCAATCAAATCAAGTGAAAATCAAGAGAAAAACAATGGAACTATATAAATGAATTTAGGAAGTCGTGTGATTACCTTGATATGATTATGAGCAGTAGTAATAAATTGTGCTCGAAACGGGGTCATCAGTAAACATTACTGTATAACACTGTGAGACTTTATCAAAACAAAATTTACCCATAATGGAATTACACTCTACCACAGTGCACAAGTTTTATTCTGATATCATTGGTGTCATCATTAAGTTAAATTAGGACACTCAGAAAAGAGGAAAGAGGACCGATAATCCCACATTTGGATGCAGATTTGGTCCAAACAAGATAACAGAACATTGAGATGCATCAACAAAAGGGGAGGTGTAGGAAAAGAACTTAAGCAACTATAAGACAAATTTAACTATACCTTCCAACCACTACACGAATTACACGAATCTGTAGAACAGATTATCTCAAAACGTCAAATTCTCAGAAACGTTTTTTGGTTAAAAAAAAACAACAGGGATATTCAACATAATTTACGAACAAGAACAAAAAAACCCAAACAGAACATGTATTTACTTCAATTCTGAAGGCTATATATATATATATATATATATATATATATATATATATATATATATATATATAGGTGAATTAGGACAACAGAAGTGATTTGACAACCGAGATACCCTGCAGGATTTTAAAGCCATCTACAAAGTGAAAAAGAAATCGCCAAAAATAGTTAAACCTCTGACATTTGTATTTCGGAAGCTTTTTCGATATGTACCCGACCGATAACTGCTACCTTGTCGTGGTGGTCGGGCTTGAATACCGTAATGACCCAACAGGCTAAACTGACTGGGACTCTGTCCCTGCAAGTCCTACCATGTCAGGAAGGTTGTTTGGATAGCGGTTATACACTAAAAGCAGTTACCAACATTGGATACATGGGTTCCAGTACCCAATCGGATCAAATGGCGTATAAACCCATATGGGTCACCGGAAACCATTGGAATGCAGCTCCTGACGCTGCTCCGCTGCCTTGCAGATTAGACTCCAAGTCAAAGGCTCGGGGGTGGTCCCTTAATAAAACCACCTGCTTCGGTCTGGGCGCCAGGGCAGTATCTCAGCCCTCACACAATGAACTGAATTAAGCAACAGTCAAAGAAACTTATCGCGTGCTATTACACGTGTTGCAATCTCCTTCTTTCTTCCCTTCCCGATGATAGTTAACGAATACTGTTTGCACTTGTTAAGCATGACTGTTTTCCCTCCAGATGTTCTTTATCCTTTCTCTACTTATATATATATATGTTTTTTTTCTCTTATTTTGATCTATGTTGTTTTATTATTATTGTGTGGCTCATCCTTCTTGGTGCCATATTGTACCAAGTTTTTATGCGTTTAAATAAATAAAATAAATAAGATGGTGCTTATAACTATCCAATGTTGTAAAAGAAAATGTATGAAATAGTCATTTAGTTGTAATCACAAAAAGAATCCTTCACAGGTCTTCATGTTTTGTCTTTGCGAACTGTCTTCGACACCAAGGACCTGTATAACCTTGCCAACTAATTCTCCTCATTCATCTGACTATTCGAGTTGTTAGTGAATAAAGCATCTCTAGAAGATACTCTCCACTGCAACGTTTCACGTTGCCGTTCATCCCACACACACACCACAAACAAGAAAATAATTGATTTGATTTTTTTTATTTTTTATTTACAGCTTGATTCCACACTGTATTTTCGGTAAAAGTATGGAATTTTCAGCATGGATATCGGCAGCCCAAATTTTGCAGGCCGACCACAGATATCAGATGTGCGTCATAACTGATTCCTTGCTATTTACAAGGTCTGTCTGTCTGTTTTCGGCATAGAACTTTGCACAAATGTGCGGAAGTTCAAGTCGCCACACTCCGTGTAGCACGCGAAGCAAGAGAAGAAAGTACAAGAAAAGCATAATAGAAACAGTGAGCAGAGGTGTGAGACAAAGGAGTAATAAAGAAAAGCAAAAGTTTCATTGGAGATCATAAGTCACAAGGAGTGGATGCATCTGCGCCACTGAGAACGATTTTGAGCCATGTCACCAATTGTTTCCAACCATATTTACAAGGTACAGCACTAGGTGTACCTTCCTTGAATATCATATTAAAGAAAGTCTTAAACATCATAAGTATCTCAAGGTTGTATAAGAATACTATGGAAGTGTCACTTTATAACCCAAATAAATATAAAACAACTTTGGAAACCAAAAGTTACTAAGACTATTTTATACAACTTTATATACATACACCAATAAGCTAAACTAATTAGGGATATTTCTGAAATCTCATTATCTTGGAGAGGTTTGCTAAGTTACCATCAGCAAAATAGTATTCGTGACTAGCAGGCATGCAATAGTAATGACTCATCTCAGCTAAACTGATCACTAATAAAGACGGGTTTAAAACAAAGTCGGCTCTCAAACAGTTTCCCGAGTGCCGTTAGTAAAGAGCACTAGGTTCAAAACGAAATGCAGTAAATTAATACGAGCAAGTCACGCATGAACAACTTTAAGCAGATATCTCCTAGGTTGTACGGTTACATAAGAGTAATGCCTTCCTTTTCAAGTATCTCAATATGGGATTGAACCTTACAGTGAAATAATCCTTGAGTTATCTGTGCGGAGATAAGTGTTGATACAAAACCCTGATTAAACACTTTACCTGTTTTGTCAATTGGTTTTACCCCTCTCTTTGCAAATAATTTTGACTTTCAATCAGAATTCCTCAATATTGGTTACAGATCCTGGAGCGGAATTCCGTTTCTCAAAAATCTGTCTCACATTAGGCAGAGAAATCTATGGCAGTCTCTAAACACTGGTTGTTAACGTATAAATGACCCCAGGCAGACAGTCGATGCGTCCCTGTTGTGGCTCGATACAAAGGCCAAACATATCATGGGTGAATGTCATGCTCACGTCCAAACTACACTATTTTTCATCCTAACACCACATCAACTAACACTAATTGCCCATAACTATTAGACATCTAAATGGAGCACTAGGACAAGGACAGGTTTTCGACTGGTCGTTTTTAATTTGATATAATTGCCCTAAGTCAGGTCAAAATACTTCCACTACAATTTATTGATCTGACAGAAATTACGGTCACCAATAATTATACATACAGTCAACAGAAAAGAATGACACGTCGGCCCACTTTCATTAGCACGATAAGAACTGTATAAATAACTCCCTGTTGCGAGTTACACATGTTGGAGATATATGCCTCACTTCCCATAGTCACAAGAAATAATAGGTACAGAAAGAAATTACAAAGCAAAAGCTGATCCAAATCCATTTGAATGCATGGAGTGACTTCTATTTATTGAAGCCCTCTTCCTAATCAGCCGTTTCTACTTTAGAACATTACAAAACACTTTGAACGACAAAACGTTGTGTGAGCTAGCATCAGTACGCCTCAAGGAACATAAACAATCAAATCTTCACCCTACCGGTCGCTCCGGCATGGATAGGCATGCAGGAATATTTGCAGTCATCTAGATTCCTTATGTACTCTAGCCCACAAAAAGAGCAGCTGACGGGTTTCAACAAGGTACCACGACTAAGCCATATTTCCAAGAGGGTGCCTCATTTGAAAATACATAGAGAAAGATGTAGGAATCCTTTTTTCACAAATGGTTCTGAACATGTATGTTTTTAAGACTAACTGTATCCCCACATGTCAGACCAGGATAGGAAAACATAACGTTTGCCCCATTCTCATGTATGGAGAACTAAGCTTACGCAAAAAACGACTGAAACTTACTCCTAGCACTGACTAAAGACAGAAATATTGACAGTAATACAGCTTCAACCTTCATTTCGGCGAAAAATTGAACTAAGCGCCCACCCAATGTCCAATAAACAAAACCCTTTTGACAGCTTAACTGATTATTTTGGGTTTGGATTTCGGTTCTAGGATGTCTTGACGTGCCTTCTTTATAACTAGTTATTCATTAAATGTTTCTCATCAATATCTATGTGTCAAATTAAAAGAAGCGTCTTGGTTTTAAGTCAAGCGATCACTTAAGCCTCCAAGGTGGGCCTATCGTACACTTCAGATTCACACAATAAGAATGTCAGACTCTTGTTGCCCATGTTAACCATTGCAATATACATCCGCGCAGAGGTCTAATTTCTCCTTGGAAGCTGTTACTACTGAACCGGGTAAGGAGTTCTAGTCGTTGATCACTCTGTCAGAGAATCTAAATTCCATACGTATTTTATTCGCAATCGATTCGGGCACTCTTTTGTGGTGACCATGTAAGTATATCATAGAAGGAGATAAAAGATTGAGAGTTCAACCTCTAAATCACCCATTAATCTGCAGTATAGCAAAATTAAGTCTCCACTCCTCCCTCAGTGTGATAATGGGACAGTTTAAATCCCCCATCATTTTGTCATAAGGAAGGTGTGAGATACTACTAACTAATTTAATTCCTACCCTCTGTACTCTTTCCATGATGTGCACCTCCTTCTTGAAGCATGGACTCTTGTTTGCAGTATTTTAGATGAGGCCAGACGTACGTTGCGTAGATTACTTGGAACGTAGACTGATCTAATCTTTTGAAAGCCCCTTGAAGTACCCTTGGCATTCGGAAAGCCTTAACCGCAGCCATATTATAATTTGCGGTTGTCTTCAAGTCATTGCTGACAATAATTCCTGAGTCTTTTTTCCCTTAACATCTGGCAGTTGTGTCCTCCACGAAGTACGACGTTTAGGACCTCTGACTCAGGTGCAATAACCCTCTCTTCTTGGAACTGATTTCCAGATTCCAAAGGCTCACCCATTCAGCTAATTTATCTAGAGCATTTTGAAGTTACAACTTATAATCGTTATTATTCACAGTTTTCCTGATGTTAATGTCACCCGTAAATAATAATGAAAATGAGGTAAGAAGTTCTGGCAGTTCACTTACGTGTGATAGGAATAGCAAGAGGCCTAATACAATTCCGTGAGGTACTCCACTCAATACTGTCTTTCACCCGGACAGTGTATCATAAACCCTTTCCTTTTGCCTGCTATCTAAGTAGTCCCTACACAGATCACATAGACACTTGTCTAATCCAAAACATTTCAGTTTACTAAGGAGACATAAATGAAATACCTTTCTAATGCTCTACTATGTTCGATAAAAACAACGTCCAGCGTAAGTTTTTATCCCTGGTTTCGACCCAGTCTTCCTTAGCTAATGGTAAGTTTTTCAGGCAGAATCGCCATGGTTGGAATTCATCTTGTTCCACTCCCAATAAGCCATGTTTCTCCAAATGAGCTAAGAGCTGATCCCCTATGAGTGTTTCAAGCACCTTTGCTATAATGCAGTTCAGACCTAAAGTCCAGTAGTTAGAGACCAACTGCCTGTTTCCCTCTTTGAAAATGGGGCTTATAAAAGCATCTTCCTAGTCTCCGGGTAGCCTAGCCTGGTTCAGAGACATTTAAACAATCTCCGTCAGTCGTCTCCGGCGGACATCTGCGAGAAGGTCATGGTGATTAAGTAGATCACTGCCAGTGGCAGGCATTTTAACGTCAGCAAGAAGGAAAATCCACTCATTAGGTTTTCATAAACTTACGTTCATATAGTTTTATGTCCTGCCAAAAGACTCAACAGTTTTTCCATTCGCGGCCTGTAAGTTGAAGGTAGGTTCTTTCCGCCAATATGCCCCTGTAACAGGAAGGAAGCTGACCTGTGTCAACCAAGTACCGGGTCTGGTCGACTACATCACCTATGTACAGTAGGAGGCTACCGCTACCGGTGACAGTTGCCGCTAACGCGTACCGGTGGGTTCTTTCCCACAGTCTTCCAGTCACTGCCAGAATAACGAGGTTTTCGGCAACATTTCATAGGTACTGTGCTACCAACACCAGTCAGGATTTTTAAGTAAACGTGGTTTGGATTTTTACCGACCACGTGAGTTTCGCCGTTGAGAAAAATTCGGTCAACAGTAGGAGGAAATACGGGGACTATTTGGTCTAAGTAGGCGCTGAACGGAGTTGCGTAACTCCATCACCACAGTGTCCCTACCCGAAGTCTGTTTAGCAACTGAGCATATTTCAGTGACTGACCATTTTGATATATTGGAACTTAATCGGTAGAAGCAGCTAAGTAGTCTACAATAACACCTTGAAGTGTCACTGGCACAGCCTGTACTGACTGTGGTAGTTTGGATAAGAACAGTTCTCTGAAAAGTCCCTCATCGAATTGACATCAGTCTATAACTTCCCTCACTCTTGTTAGCATGTTCACAGCAGACTGATCATCTTATTCGACGTTGCGAAATAGTTCTTCAAGACGATGCCAATCTGTGAAATTGTTTCTCTTTAAGAAGTTTCCTTTAATCACTTCATATGGATTGCTTACTTATGAGCTCGACATATGCACAGTTACGCATTTGCTTAATTCCCGTGGTAGGGCGTGGATGATTCAAGGGAACTGTAAACGTTAGTCACTGATCCATGTTCGCTAAAATCAGACTCGTCTATCTGAAACCACAATTCTACATTTTCTGACCGAAATGGCACGAGCTGAACAGTGTTGTTAGTTGGTTAGATACGGATAACTTTAGGCGTATGGTCACTCATGGGGAAATATATACTTCGAAAATAGTGCAAGAACAAACACAAAATGGAATGAACTCACCGGATTTGTCAGTGTGTTTATAGAAGATAAAGTTCGCGATAGGGCTCCCCAGTTTAATAGGCTGAGTGTGTTGACCTTACCGGACAGTACGATTTATGCTATCTCACGGTCTACTACCCACAACGTCTATAGCATTCGTTCCGCGTAGACCAAAGGCAAATCAAAACACCGGAATTGATTGTCCAAATTACGAATTATATTTCGGGAACAAATTGGAGTGCAAGATGATTGCTTAACTAGCAAGGGATTGTGCACGAACGAACGTAACGCGATGGGGTAGATGCTTAACCGTAAGCTCTCAGCTAAATAAATCGACATCTAACTTTCGGTGACCAACGATTCTGGGATTTACCTACCACTACAGGGCTAATGCCGCTAGTTTAACAGAAGCAAGTGCATTTATAAGCAGACAATAAAGTGTCTGAAAGCGGCAGTTTGTCCTTCACACATCCACTAATCATTAGTCGACTGAAAAGATAACCAGTGGATCGGTGATTAAAATGCTATTCTCAGCGATCTAAACAGATGGTTCTTCAGGATTTGAGCCACGATATCACGTTTAAATCCATTCCTGATAAACAGTGACCTTTTCGAATTGTGTAGATTATTATGGCGGAGGATGAGCGTTATCGTGATGTATTATCGCGCACGGTATGGGTTATCGCGTTCACGACTTCACAGGTGTTATAATCGTTCAGTTTCGTGAAAATAGATTGTATTTGAATATCTTTAGACTTCTGTAGCCAAAAAAGCAATATTTTCAAGCGTTGTGTTCGTCATAATGGGTAAAATTCTTTTGATATCCCAGACAATTTATAACTAAAAAAGTTCATTCTCTATAGGAAATTTCGCATAGAATGACAACTGTCAATACACTTGAAGATTGAACGATCAATTCATGATTGTTTGCTCAAACCCAACGTCCCTATGTTTTCCCGGAGGCATCAATACACCAGTCATCGTCTCATCGATCGCTGTTCAGAAAGCAAGTACAAAACCGTCAGAGGTAATATTGTGATTTATTATTGTAATTTATGTTCATAGACCCTAGTTGTAAAGTTGGCTATATGTTGGTGTTAGACTAAAAAATTCTCGAGTCGTCGATCTGTGTTCTGGTTTTTGCGTCCGTTCGTACTAAGTGTTTCTGTAAGGCTTCGAGGGACAGCGAGAGGCCCGGCGTAGCAAGAGCTGGGCGTTAACGGTTTTGAGACGTGGCTGACAGTTTCTGACGGATTCGGACAGTTTGTGACAGTTTGGATAGTCACCGTTCATCTTTCCTGGTGCCGGCCAAGTCTTCTTTGAACAAGCAATGTCTGGAACTTTTTTGGAATTTGGTCAAGTTCAACAATGCCTGGGTCAAAGAATAGACAGAGTGTCTTGGATGCAAACAGGAAAGTAAGTCATGATGACTTGTCTGTTACTTGTAACGATGTGTCTGATGTTTAACATGACATGGTTGATGTTACTGTTTCGCCTTTCAGGGATAATAGGAACATCAAACACCCTAAATTTGAACCATGGTGTTTCGATGGAAACCTGGCTGATTATTTACAGTTTGTAAAGGAGTTTGAGATCATGCTGAGTAGTTTTCTATTAAGTGATGAATTGAAGTTAATGTATTTGTTGAGTTATTGCACTGGAGTTGCTTCAAGAGCTATACAGCGTTGTAAGTTGATGTCCGCTGAAGAAGGATACTCTGAGGCTATGAATGTACTACGTCAAAGATTCGGAGGACCTTCGATGATTGTAGAGAAATTATTCGAGGCTGTTAAGCGTAATGGTGGTCACCTACAAGATGACTTTAAGGCACTCTCTGAGTTTTTGGATAATCTGATGACTTACAAGAATGCATTGATTTCGATGAATTTCATGAGTGACCTCACCTCAAGCTCGGTCCTAGAGGTAATGGCCAGTCTCCTACCTACTCGACTGCAAAGGAAGTGGGTGAAGATAAGCTCTCGTGTGGAGGATGAAGGTATTGAACCTAGGTTCGATGATATTCTGAAACTTGTACAGGACAGAGTCAATCAGGCGGTAGGCGAATTCGCCAGCATTTTGCATTCTAAGGTGGAACCTAAGGAACTAGTGAATATAAAGAAAGCATTTGTGGTGAAGGCCCAAGGCAAATCAAGAAAGGATGAGTGTATTGTTT